CCAGTTGTTTTTTCCCCTGCAAGTCACTTCAGCACTCTGTGCCTCAGTTTACCAATCTGTCAGATGGTTATGATATATAGTTTAATAATGGGAATAGAACACATTGCAGGGGAGCTGTGTGGATCGGGTCATTACTGTCTGGAAAGTTCTTTGAGGTCCTCGGTTAGGACATGTTAGAGAAGGACAAAATCTGCATTGCCACTAATGTCTGAACAATGCCTCAGGATGGTAAACTCCGTCAGAGCTAAGCATGAGTATTATTTACACTTGCAGCACTATACGCCACAATAATAGCACAGAGCCCCTCTGCAGCACTTTATGGCCCAGGTTTTAAAATGATCTGTGAAAAATGCACCGGCGTGACTTGGGTATGGCATTCCTGCGATTGCACAATCAGCCATGGTAAATACATGGTTATTATTTTGTTACCTCTTGTGACCCAAGCAGCTAGTCAGAGTTTGGGACCCTGGGGTTGTTTCCACTGGAGGAGACATTGATGAGGCACTTCTTTGATGCAATCTTTTTTATTTACCAAGAATATACAAAGTCCCGTTTCCCTGAACACAGGAGGAATCAAATAATGGGAGGCAGTGTCCTTGCTCACAGGTCCAGGGTTCTTTTAGCCGGCACCTCCACCCTAAATCTCTCTCTAGGCTTCTCCCAGGGCCACATCACACTTCCAGGCAGTGGCTGTCTCTGTCCTGCTTCTTCCTCACCACACCAACCCTTGGTTAAAATAATACTCAGCAAAGTCCCTCTGCTCACATTGTAAATTCCTGATCTCACTCACTTATGTCTTTGCTTTGGGCGATGACGTACACTTAACAGACCCTTACGGTTATCTTAAATGAAGGGCAGTGGTTAAACCTGTATTATTATTTGCATGACCGTAGTGCCCGTGTGTGTCTATCTGTCCAGGTGCTTACAGGGGCTCTCCATCACTGAAGTAGCTGAGTAAATGGTCACCCAGACATCTAATTGGACTTCGCATGCACAATCACTGTGAATGCCCAGGAGACTTGTGCACACAATAAAATCTGGCCCTGTGTTTTCAAAGCACCGTGCAAAACACTGGGCTAGATTTGCTTCCGCTTGGAAGTCCCAGGCCCCAGCTGCAGGGGAGCCCTCTCAGGAGTAGAGGAGGCACAACAGTGCAAGCGGCCCACATACTTGTTGTGCCCATCTGGTGCAGCCCTAAAATGGGGGGGGGGGCAGCTAGGGGAGGGGACAGAGCCAAGGAAGGCCCCTGGCAGAGGTGCTCTCTAGGTCGATTTGCTGGGCATCCTCTGTTGGTGGGATTCTACTGGAGCCCCTGCCCTGGCTGGACACTACTTGCCCCAGCAGTGAATCAAGCCCACTAGCTAACACATACGAGCCCAGCCCTGAATCCCTTACTCAGCTTTGACTCCCTCCTTCCTCAGCCCTGGGAATTTTGCCTGGGTAAAAAGGTCAGGATTTGGCCCTGTAACTGTAGACCCAGACACAGAGGTCCCTATGCCCGTTAACCCCATGCGCGCGCCGGCTCTTGGTGCAGCGCAGCTCTGGGGAATACTAGCTACTTCCCAGGTCGGACTGCTCCTCTGCACTTGCTGAGGTGAGTGACACCTGTCCCCTCCCTTTCTGGTCATCCTTTTGGGACAGACGTTTCTCCTCTCCTCCTGTCCGCCCCAGGTGCCAGGCAGCCCTGCTTCTTGGCTTCTCGTGGCTCCAGCCCAGAATATGAATCATAGATCCCCTCCTCAATCCCATTTTGCTATCATAATTAAGCTTATTCTGCCATATCTCCTCTTGTTCCCAAGCAGCTCTCCAAAGGGTCTTTGGAGGTTTCTCATTTGTTCTAAATCCAAATGTCTCTCTCTCTGCTCCCAGAATGTGTGGAGGAGAATTTAAACAGGGACTGAGGGTGTTAAAACCACAATGTTTCTCTTTAAAGCGGGTCGGCCACCATGGGGCGAGATGCTCATGCATGAGTCACACCTAAATGCTAAACAAGATCACAGCTCCTTGGAATACAGAGCACCGGTGGGATCTGCGAATCCATTGCCCTGAAAGTGCAGGCGGCAATAGGTGGGTAGCCCCCAGACGCTGCTCTTGTTCTGTTTTGCATAATTATCCAAGAGATCTGCCCTCAAACAAAGGGATTTGCCATCTCCTTCTGCCAGATCCTGCAGTGATGTCCTCTTGCCAGGCTGGTGACATTACAGTCATTTCCATGGCAACACACTGTGATATCACAAACACAGGCGGTTGACCTCATGGCAGGGTCCAGTAGAAGGAAACCCCCTTGGTGCTAATCTGCCACCCAAAGAAGGGTTGTTATTTATTGGGTAACAAAACACGCAGACCTGCCACTCCACTGTTTGATGGAACCCACCCTTCCGGTCCTCAGCACAGCCATGTGTCTGCACTGGAGCCTGCTGTTTGTTTAGGGCAGGGAGATGATTTCTTCCATGCAGCGCCAAGCAGGCTGTCAGCACTCAACAGATACATAACATGAAGCATGAGAAGCTGGGTTCCAGAGGCTGGGAGGAAGAGAGGGGTGGCTCGCCTTAAAAATATTGACAGATGTAACGAATAATACAATGATGTTGCCAATCTCTAGCCTCTTCCATGATCTGGATCTCAAAGCTTTTCCCAAACAGGAAAGACCAAACCCTCCCGCCTCTCTGAGGTGAGTCAGGATCATTATCCCCTTTTACAGGTGGGGAAGCTGAGGCACGGATGGGCGTCTGAGCAAAACTTTCAATCTTGGGTGCCTGAAGTTAGGCACCTCAGTTTGTACAGAGGCGCTGAAATCAGTGACCTGATTTTCAGCGGTGTTGAGTCCTGACAGTTCCCACTGAAGCCAATGAGAATCAGGCCACTTTTATTTAGCTGCCTAACTATGGATTTAGGGGTCTATCTTTAGGTACCCAAGTCTGAACATTTTGGCTTGAGTATCTTGCCCCAGGCCACACAGGGGGCCGGGGACAAAGGAAGAGCTCAGTCCCCCCAACTTTCAGCCTTAGCTACCAGACCATCCTTTCTCCCTCTCAGGAAGACATTACAGCAAACGGACACCAGTACAACTACCATTGATCACAGGCGGTAGAGATGGAAAAGCCCCGTTCGGTCCCATCTAGTCCATCTGCGGAGCCCGGGTAGGAACTTTCCCTCTAGGCTATTTCCTAGACCTTTTTGTCCAGTCTAGGACAACAAACAAATGCAAGAGTGGCCAGCGCCTAGCACGGGGCGCGACTGGGCCTCTAGGCGCTCACCGCTACACTCGTGCTAAGAAATAACAGGGATGCTATTGGAGTTTGATCCCACTTCAACAGCCCCCTTGTGTGGGTGGCACGAATCGCTGGGACTCCTTGCTGGAAGATAGAGGGCAAGCTGCAGCCTCTCTCTCCCCCTTGCTCTTCCTGCTGGCCTGGTTGGATTGCATGTAGATTCGGTGGGTTTGTCTGCCTGCTGCTAAGCGGCCTCCCTCGCCGATCCCGCTGCTTTGCTTCAGTAAACAGCGAAGACTTCCAGTGTCTCCCCCCAGGACTAGACGCGAGTCCCTCTCCCTGGCAGCGCCCAGGCGGAGCGATTTGGAGGGATCCACCTGTGATTCCTCTCCTCCTCTTCCCCACCACCCGCCGGCTGCGCTGCTCCTTCATCATCTGCCTCTGGGCGAAGGAGCAGAAACAAGAAACTAAAAAAAAAAGCACGTAAAAAAGCGCTGGAGAAAAGCAGAGCAAATTAAGCAGAGGCCCGATCTGCTCGGGCTTGTGCTTGCCCAAAATGCACCATGCATCTTAATTGGCTCTGCTGTTCCGCTCTCCCACACTGCTCTCCCGGTGCCATTTCGGCGCTCTCCGCTCGCTCAGCCTTTTCAACACTTCATTCTTCTTCGGTGTGTGTGTGTGTGTGTGTGTGTGATTGCGGAATCTGCTGCCGCCGGTGCAAAGGGGCGAAAGAGATCCCCCCCCCTCCGAGCTCTCCTGGCAGGTCCAAACGATCCAGTGGGTCCCCGTTGCATTTTTCCCCCCCAGCCGCCTCGATTTTTGTGGGTGTGCCTTTTCTAGAAAGTGCTGCTTGGGCGCTCTCCAAGCTATTTTGCCCCCATCCCTGGGAGCTGCCTTTTATCTCCCCGGGATCCTTAGAAAATAAACGCGTAAAGGACCCGGAGTCCACACTGGGGGTAGGCGCCTCTAGTCCAGTGCGGGTCTTTCCTGCTGGCTGTCCGGGTTGCAGCAAAAAAAATGCAAATAAAATAAAACAGAGAAAAAGAAAGTAAAAAAAAAAAAAAGCCGAAGACACTCTCCCCTCCCCCTCTTCTCAATTGCAATCCCAACTGGAACTTTTCCTCTTCTAGCCGGGATGCCTTTCCTCATCTCCAGTCCTTAGCTTTGAGAGCAGCCTCTTTTTTTTTAAGGGGAGGGGGGGATCCTTTTTATTGCAGAGAGGGAAACACGCCGCGAGGGGATCTCTTTGCAGGCTCTTGTGCAATCTAGCTCGATAGATAGATAGATCTTTTTTGCATGCATCTCCTGCTGCAGCAGATCCAGCCAGCGTGGGGGAGGGGATGGAAAGGGTGCACCCTCCTCGCCTGATCCTCTCTTCTGCCTCTGTGTGGTTTTTTTTGCAGGTGTGTCAATTTTAATTCTGCCCAGTAGGTGGGACTTGGTGACTTTAGCACCATTTTTGTGCGTGTGCGTGTGTGTGTGTGTGTGTGCTTCCTCCCCATCTTCTATTGCAATCCTCAGAAGTCTCTCCGAGAGAGCGAGAGAGCGCCTGATACCGAGAGCCAGCCTGCAATCAACAAGGCACTATGCATTTCGGACCGCTACTGTAGGGGGAATTACAGCTTCTCCTAGCCAGCTGCCAGCATGATTTCATCTGCGGGAGGATTTTTGCATCTGATCGTTTGAGTTTTTTTTCCTCCCTCTGTCTTTGTTTCCTTCCCCTTCTCCCCCCCACCCCCCTTTCCTCCTCCTCCTCCTCCTCCTCTTTTTTAGAAGCAGCAGTCGGAGATGGATGTCTCTCTTTGCCCTACCAAGTGCAGTTTCTGGAGGGTATTTTTGCTCTGGAGCATTTGGGGAGACTATCTGCTGACGGTGCTGGCTTGCCCTGCGAATTGCCTTTGCAGCAAGACAGACATCAATTGCAAGAAGCCGGATGATGGGAACCTCTTCCCTCTCTTGGAAGGGCAGGATTCAGGCACCAGCAATGGGAACACCAGCATCAACATCACTGACATCTCAAGGAACATCACTTCAATGTAAGTCAGCTATGCCTCCCACCCCCACCCCAGTGGGTGCCCTTTCCTCTACCGCTGCCCGAGACACAGGGTGTGTGTGTGTGTGTGTAAGGGGAGAAACCGGCGTGTGGATTTCAGGTGCCCTCAGCATTGCTATGGATGCTGGTTATTCCCTGCCTCAGACCCGTTATGCCTGGGTTGCCGTGCAGAGGACGCGAATCTAATTTTCTGCCCCCACCGAAACAGCAACAGTTTGGCTCACGTTTAAGTGGGATAAAGTAAATGAGATGAAATGGCTTAGCAGGGGCGGGCAGCAGGCAGAGATACTGTAAAGCGACCTCTTCTTTTCCCCATTTGTGTTAGCAGAGAGATGAAAACACACAAACACACACACAAACTGGGCACCTAAGGCAAGTTCTAAGCCGCCTGCTCCTTCAGAGACTTCGGATCTGATTAGAATGTCATTTTTTATCCCCCCACTGGCAAATCCACCCTCCTCTGCCCTGGCTGCGTGGATCTGGGAATCTGCAGTTTCTCCTTTTTAAGAGAGAGAGAGAGAGTGTGAGATGCCCCTCAAGTTGTTATAATTTTCCAGCTCCACTCTGATGCTGAGCTGGGATTTGTGTATTTTGCTCTCAGGGTAGTGGGGGTATGTGTAGGAGGCAGATATTTTTAGTTGAGCACTTTGCGTTTGTTTGCATGCTTGTTTATCTGGAAAATCAACTGGAAGTTGCATTATCCTTGTTTGGAGAGGCTGGTAGCAAAAGCCCATGCAAATCTCATCAGCGTAGAGTAGGGAAAGGACTGGTTTTTTTCTCCCCCCTCCCACATCATGCTATGTTATGTGTGTGTTTAAAAAATCCCTCATCTTCTACAATCTCTGCTCTTCAACGTTCAGTACATTTTTGGGGAGGTGAACTCCAAGGCATTTCATTATTCTAATGCTAATTGAAATGTGAGCATTTAGGGAAATGTAGCCCCATGAGTAAGTTGCCTGTGGGAGTTGGGTGGAAATGAGGTGGAATTCTTTATGCTGGCAGTTAAATGCAGCAAGGTTTGGGATGAGTAATTGATGGTTATTTATTTATTTCCCACCTCCATTGTGAAATAGCTTGTTCAAAGGGTGCTCTTTGATGGTTCTTTTCCCGAGGCTGTGCTATTTGGTCACAGTGCAATTGTAGCACCGCTATGGAATAATTGCGATACCCTCCTTAAGAGCATTGCTCGGCACCTTTGCCGGATAAAGATGACTGGGCTAACACAGACCCATTGCTGTTAACGGGTTTAATGTAATGAATGCCCACGCAGTTCTCCCCACGTCCAGTTCTAGTGAGTAACGCTGACCTATTCCCATGCTACGACTTTCCCTTTCCAGCAAATCTGCTCTCCAGAAACTAAAGGGATCAGGGAAAGTAAATATGAACCTAATGTAATGTTTGCATGCCAAATGGCCCAGATTTACCCTGTGCCCCCTGTGCTGGAGTATTGCTGTGGATGCTAGAGCGATCCAGATAACACTAGGAAAGTGGGAGAAACTTGTGTTTATTACTGTGCTTACCGTTTGTTGTGTTTTTCTCTTAACCCTTTCTTGTTAAACTGTGAGCATCAAGCATGCTGTAAGAGGGAAGAGAACTAGCAATTTGGTTACTGTACTGTGGCTCAGAGGCAGCTTGTGTGGTTGTTACTTAGTATGTGTTGGTGTGTGTGTTTGTGTGTGTATATACACACATCTGAACTGCTGGATGAGTTACTACAATGTGAATCCTTTGTGTCTAGAAAATGTCTTTACTGCTTTGAAATTGAAAAATGCTGGGAGTCAAAAAATCCAACCCAAACAAAAAACCTAAAACCCAGCCCCCAAACCTCTCAACTCCATTAGGAAATGTTTTCAGGAGAAGAGCATCTTTTCAGGACAGGAATAATGAGAGGGTGACTGGGTAAATCTGTTTGTGTTCCATCTAGAATAATATGTCTTCCCTGGATCCCCAACCCCCTAAATGGACTTCTGTAGCTTTGGAAGAAATGGTGGTAGCTGAATTGAGGTTAGTCCATAACCACCACTACTGTAATTCGGGATTTTAGGCTGAATATCAGGAAAGACGTCTTGACAGTGAGATCTGTGAGACGGTGAAATAGTCTCCCCAGGGAAGAGATGAAAACCCGGGAGTTCAGGATGCTTACAACTGGCACTAGCCATTGTACTTGGAGGGGGCAACCTGGTGGGCCAGGGACGGGCTAGATGGCACCTAAGAAGTCATTTCCTCCTGCGATTTGTGTGGGATTCCTTAGGGACCTGAGCGCGCGGCCTGAAGGAGCTAGGACAGAAACTTGTGTTTAGCAAGCATACTCTGCTCACTCCGCCCTCGACAGAAAAGGAGGCTAGGACAGGGCTGATTGGGTCAGTTCACAGGGAGGGAAGGTCAAAGATCATCCCTACCCCCACCTCGAGATTGTAAATATGGGTTATAGTTCAGCCCCCTCCTGGCCTGTCAAAACTATGTTGTTGCCAAGGAAGTTACAGTGCCCAGATGCTAGGGTGATGGGCACATTCTCAATCCACCTAATAACGAATCCACTGCCCTTCCCAAAGAGAAGAGTGTGATGCTCCCTCATGCCGAATGTCACCTTTGCGTCATCCTGCTTCATTCTGTCTCCTAGTGTAAAAGCCCATTGGGGCTTTTATTTCGTTAGCCAGATTGACTTAGTGGCGTGCAATTGCCTCAGGGGTCGTTTAACTTACTAGCCCCTCGTGGGGAATGGTGTGCAAAAGAAGGCGAGTAGCTAGCTTGCAGCACCTGCCTTTCCTGTCAGTCTCTGGAGAGGGGTGGGGGGCTGTATTGGCGGGGTGGGTAGCGGAGCTCTGGTGCGCGCTGCTGTAATGGATCCTGTGTCTCTGGGCCTGTTCTCCAGTCTCTGCTGCGTGACGACCGGTGTCTGGGAAGGAATCTCTAGCTTTCAAGAGCCTCCCGTGAAGACTTTCCCTTCGCGTGGCTGTTGAAAACACGGGTAGGGCATGTTCTTTCTCAGAAAGGCCACAGGGCCTAGGGTGATGCCTTCCCCGTTGCCAAACGACAACTGGTAAAGCTACGCTCACAGGGTCTCTGTGGTGGATTGAACTGTGGAAATGCAAGACCATTTTCATCAGGGGAAGGGTTGGGAAAGAGAGAAGGGGCTGGGGGATGGGAGGAAGAGGACCCTAGGTTGTGAACGCTTCACTCACTGTTATTTTAAAACTCTTTATGTTCCAAAGCCCAGCGGAAGAGGCCATGAGCCCTTTTGCTACAGGTCTTCAAAAGAAAACATCCCACTGAAAGAAGGACTATTCCCATCTCCCGCCATCTTGGGATGAAGCCATTGGAAGCATTTTGCTCTAGTGATGTAACATCCCGGAGGCCATCCAGGCCAGAGCCCTCTTTTACTAGGGGCTGCACAAGCAGATAGGAAACAGGGACCTGCCCCAAAGAGCTGAGAGTCTAACAGAGGACATCACAGTGGCATGAGACAGAAGAGTGGGCCGAGGTGGGGGAAAGGGGTAATATGCTACGGGGTGGATGCAGCTCTTAGCCAATCAGGGTAGTGATCACAGCTTGCCAGCTGCCTAGGTGTCTTTGTGTCCTTGTTTGTTGTATTTGGGGCCCAGTTCTTTGGAGCCTGTTTGGGGCATTCACTCCCCTTTCCCCCATCAATGGCAGAGGAATTACCAGCACCAAGGGTCTGGACCCTGGCATCTCATATCTTCGGATGCTGCCAGTGCTGAGAATCTCTTTGCCACCTTCCTCTCTTCTGGGCAGTTTCCAAGCCCAAGCCATGCTGACATTCCTTCTCCTACCATGAAATCAGCCCAGAGGGCTCAGTTTGCGCAGGCTTGAGCAGCAGCGCGTTACTCTGTCATGGCCTGGCTGTTGAGCCGTAGTGGACTGAGTTCGAATTGCGTGCAACTTGGCAGTTCACCGTAGCAGATTCCCCCAGCTGTCTGCGTGGGGGGAAAACGTGCAGTGTGAGCGCAGCTGTGCATGAATGCAGCCCTTTGGCTAGCGATCAGCCACGGCCACCTCTCCCGTCGAGCCTTGATCCTGAACACCAGGCGCTCCTGGAAAAGCAGCCGCATGGTGGTAACCTGAGCTGCAAGTGGGTCGCTCTGAGTTTGGCTGGGCCGCCTCGCTGTAATATTATCAGAGCCGGTGTAACTCAAGCTGCCGTTTAAAAGCTTGTTTAGAAATTGAACAAAAGCCTCAATTAATTAACGTTCCGCTCTCAGATTGGTTTTTTCCTCTCCCCCTGTTCTCCTTCCATGGAGAGCGGAATGGTCACATTTCTTGTTTCTATCTGTGAAGCCAGCGCTGCTGCTACTGGTGTGTGCTGCAGGTGGGGACGGGCCGGGGACGCAAGGCCGAGAGCTAGTGAGGAGGCCTGGCCTAGTGAGATGGGCGGGTGATCTCCCAGCTGCTTTCAGGAGAGGAGTGCTGAAGCTGCTGTGGGGTGCTGGGGCTCCTCCTATAATGGATGGACTCTCCCATCCAGTGCTGGAAAAGGGGTGATTCGCAGCGCTTTATAAGAATCCAGACCAGAAAGGGTTAACAGGGAAGCATGGGACGGGCAGAGCATTCCTGGCCCTGACTTAAGTGGGGCGAGTGGGTGAGGATTGTGTGGCTGGCACGGGCCCCTGAGGCCCCGAGTAACCCTGGTAGTGCCCTTGTGTTGAGCAGGCTGGACTCTTACCCCCATCCCCGAGTGCCCTGGCCATGCATCTGGCTTTGTGACTGGGCTTCTGGGGACCTGGTTCTGACCATGAGCCACTCAGCATCCTCCTGCCCCAGGGGAATTGCACAAGCTTTCCCGTTAGCTGTAGTCATGTAAGGTCAGGCGCTATCCTTATCTGTGCTGCCTTCCCAGAGGCCAGGAGGGTGCTGAGCTCCAGCCAGCATCATGTTCCCAGGAAGAACGTGTGGCTCGTCCTTGTTTTTGGAAAAGCCTTGCAAAATTTGCCGAGTGCCCCTTCCAGCTGAGACGAGCTCAGCACGGTGTCTGCCCGCGTGCCTCATCCCTTGGCCACCTGATGGAGCGGTTGCCCCTGGACTGGGAGGGCCCCGTGTGAGCCGTGGCTGGGCTAGCTTGCAGCTAGAGGGGGTTCAGCGTCCCGAAGGGGGGCTCTGTGGGCCGATATGCTTCATTTATTTTCCTAGTGACGTTAGTGCTGCTGCAGGGTGCCAGACTGATGGCCCTGGAGACAGGAGGCCTCTGCTTCACTCCAGGCCAGGTATGGGTTGGGGAACATGAGCTTTCCTCACCCACGGGAGAGGGCAGTCCAGTCTCCTTGGCTCATTGCATCCGCGACCTCTCTGCGGAGACCGCCGGAGGGGGGGCCAGGTGTGACATGGCCGCTTGGCCGCTAGGAACAGGACTCAACCCCATCAGCTCCTTTCACTCAGTCCACCGAGCAGCCATGTTCATGCTCCCCATCCGCTGCCATCGTGGGCTCTGTGTGAAGCAGTGACCTAGAGGTGAAAGTGCCTCGTTCCAGTCCCAGTGCCCCAACTCCGCTGGCTGGTTATGTTCTCTATAGAGTCTGGTTACCGGTGAGCAGAGCCGACCCTTCCCAGGCGGGCAGAGAGGACTGGCCATGCCATGCCATGTTGTTGTGCTGAGGCCCTGGTGTATCTGCTCCCCTGTCATTGCACTGGCCTCAGTGAAGGGCAGATCTTAAATTCTCGGCGTGCTGGCTGGAGAGTCAGAGCGTTTCCTTTATGGCAGCGTGGGAAGCACACGTGTGCTCTGGCACAGCGTGCGTGGGTAAAGCAGGATGGAGGAGTTGGCCATCTGGGCCTCTCTACTTCTCAGCTGCTGCTCTGGTACTGGAAAGATTCTGCCAGCAGTACAGTGCTGGGGTATGTGCATCGCTCCTGGGCTCCTTGTCGCAAGGTGGGGTCCCCCTGCCCCAGCACAGAGATCATGTCCCCAGTATATAACTGCCAGCTGCCTTGCTCCCTTCTCTGACTGGAGAAGGGGAACAGTGTTTTACATTGTGAATCACACCTTGTAGAGGGCTTGGAGGTGAGGGGCCAGGAGGGTCCTTAACATTACCCACCATGACTGGGTAGCTGCCTATGGCAGGGTGAGCAGAAATCACATCCTTAGAGAGGCACAGGAATCTGTGGCACCCTGTTCTTGGGGGTCCCCCATGGAGAAGCCTGTGACACCCCTAGAAGGGGGAGAGCCTCTAGTATTCCCCTTATGGGGTCACCTGCTATGCAGATGTTTTGTCCTGGGGGAGTGGTCACACAGCCCAGCGTGCCTTGCCAATGCCATGAGGTCACACCAAATCACAAGAGGTGGCTGGTGTAACCAGGCCTAGTTAAACTGGAATGTGCTTAATTCTCTAATATGTGGGCCTTGGAGGAGTGGGCCCGCCAGGTCAGGTCTCAGTGGTCTCAGAGCCCGGGGGAAGACTGGCTCACTTACCAGGCACGGTGAGATTTGCACATATGGAGACAGGGGAGAGAAGAGGCCCTCGGTGTAGTAGGTTGCTATCGGGGGAAGCAGCAGATACATGGCTCTGGCACACCCTGCCCGTGCTGCCTGATGTATGGAGGAATCTCTTCCAGTGGTGCTCGCAGGTCATACCTCCTGCCTGACGTGGGCCCTTCTGGTGGGAACGGAAGGAGCTGGAGTTCGTGTCGGCCTAGAATGATGGGAGGGGTTGCTGGGGAACCTTCCAGCGAGTGATTAAGTGAACTCTCCTGCTAGAGGCAATGGGGTGCAGATACTGGGGGGATCCATACAAGTCACCCCTCACTGTACTGCAGGGACATCCAGGCCTTTTACCATGCCCTAGTGGGGATCCAGACTGTGCCGA